GGAAATGGATGGCATTAGAGCAGATTATGCTAAGTGAAGCTAGTCAATCTTTAAAAAACAAATACCAAATGACCCCTTTGATATAAGGGGAATAACGCAACATTTTAAAGATGAAATTCGTCCATGAACATATTAATTGTCTGTATTAGAGGAGTCCAGCCTGGTATTTCCACCCAGGCTGCAAATGTTAAATATTATTCTTCTTTAAGGCTGAATAGTATTGCATTGTGTGTGTGTGTGTGTGTGTGTGTGTGTGTGTGTGTGTGTGTGTGTATCACCTCTTCTTTCTCCATTCATCTGTGGAGGGCACTTCTGCTGATTCCGTGCCTCAGCTATTGTGGAGAGTGCAGCAACAAACTTGAGTTTGTGGATACCTGCTAGTTTTGCCACCTTTGGGCACTTAACTAAATGGTCCTTCTATTTCCTCATTGATAAAATCAGGCTAATTACAGCATCTACTTGTAAGTAGAGAAGTGAGGATKATTTGAGTTAATACATATAAAAGTGGCTAGAGAAGCACCTGGCATGAAATAAGCACCCTGTAAATCTTAAGTATGACACTATGTTTAATTTTTACTTTTGTAATTAAGACCTTTCTATTCTGCATCATTAAAGTTTAAAACTGTCATAATGAAATCCCTAGGACTGACATGTGAGCYTAAGCAATAAGACCTTCCATGGGAGAAGATGAGGACTTCTCTCCCTTTCTGATTGCATATCCTTCCTGTCACCATGGTAACCAAAATCTCAAGTTTGGTGGTTATCTTTGTCTATCAGTTTGATTATTTAAATCAATTCTACTTTCCCCACTGAGGAATTGGGATTTGGATAAAAAGTAGGTTAAATGAAAACAAAAATTCCTAAGCATTTCTTTTGCTTTTATATTTGCTATTTCTAGGAGAGAGATTTTGTTAATTAATTAATCCTTACTATGATTTTCCACAGGAAAGATGCCCTAGGGGTTACTAGTTAGTGTTGCTGTGCATCTTAAGCTCTGAAATACTCAAAAGGCTACTTTGGTTCAAGTGAAGGCCACGGACATGCGCGAGAGGAGAAGGACAATGGGGTCCACATTTACCGAGCAGGGGTGCCATACAGGTGAGGTCTGGCTGCTGCAGACACAGCCACGATGGTGGCCGGGACCCCATAGCCCACAGGGAACATGAGCCTCCTCATGAGCCTGTTTCTGCTGGAGGAACTGAGCACAGTCAGGTTCCGCGCCGTGAGGAAGAGGAACAGCCCCTCCAGCAGCATCCAGGTGAAGGAGGCCAGGTAGAGGTAGTGCAGGGCGCCTGCAGTGACCACGCACAGCACCTGGGGAGGAGAGAGACCCAGGGGCAGCCTCAGGGTCTGCTGTGGCCCAGGATGCCCCCTGCGCCCTGTGGTGGGGGATTCTGCTGTGCACCAGGCGTTGCACTGTGGTGCTTCAGCCATGGGCTGCGTGTGTGCTCCCATAGATCACAGCAGAGCTGGAGAGGTCCTGCTGCCCAGTGACGTCACAGCCTCCCAGGGCTGTCCTGGGGCATTCCTCATGCAGTAGTGGTGATGTCACAGCCTCCCATCGCCGCCTTGTGGCGTTCCTCATGCAGTAGTGGTGATGCTCTTGTGAACCAACCCCTGCACTGCTGGTTCATGAACAGCAGGGTCACACAAGGACAGGCAGGACCTAATACTTACAAATGGCAACCAATGATTATGTGACTGCTTATACATTTACTGCACTATGTTTTTCACATTATTTTAGAAGTGACTGTAGTTCACAGGGCTTAGTATCTTGTCTCCAAATGGTGCTGATCCTGAGAATAGCTGAGGGCGCATATTGAATGACAGTATCAGTAGCTGGATATTCACCCATCCCTGGGCTCTTAAGAGACAGAAGGTCACTAAATAATCCTGTGCATCAAAGCAGAGAAGATAAT